GCAATAGTTGAGTATGTTAATCATACTTATGAGGAAGAAAAGGTAGAAACTTTTGGTTAATTAACACGGCAAAGATCCCATCGAAGACAACAGCTACTATCACTAGCTAGCTTAAATAATTAAAGAGGTCACTTTTATTATAAAGCATTAAAGCCCATAAAAAAAGATGCTTATATACCAAGAATATGAGCTGTATAATGAACTCTATTGATTCTATGAACCCATTTTATATTACAATAAAAAGAATACTAAAAAAATAAATTGTTTACATTCGCCTAACAGGATTTACCTTACAATACAAAATGAAAACATCACTTAAACCATTTCCTTCTCTTGTTTTCATTGCCTCGTCCTAAGCAGCCGATCTCCAATCGTCCTGATCTCAAACGTCTTAACCGCGAGGCCAATATCGCGCATCGTGGTATCAAGTACGTAAGGATTGTTATCCAAGACGATGCGGGTATCGTTGAAAAGATGACGACATGGCTCGCGGCGCTGCGAGATTGAACCGTGGTAGTGAAAATAACGGATTTTTCCTTCCGATTTGTGATACGTCTTTCCTTGTAGATTCTGAGACATGTGAACGCCAGTCGCAAATATGTTACGCGGTTGGACCGCGTATTTCCGATCCCGTCGTGGTACTTTCTTCACATCTCTATACGCCAATTTCTCAAATCCCCATTTCCTGAAAAAAACACACAATCACATAAATCATCATCATCCAAGAACTATGTAGATAGTAAAACCGCGTTGATTACTATATAACAATTCCGCCATTAAAAGTGGATTACTATTATGTTGATAAGAACACATACCCATCAATTCCTAGCTAATTTTGAACTAGAGTTTGCTAATTTTGGAATCTAAAAGCTAGAATCTTTGAAACAATTCTCACTACCCTGAAGACACAATCACAAGAACACATATCCATCAATCAAATCCTAGAAAATCTCGATTTGGTTTTGGTTGATTTAGAAATCTAGAAGAGCTAGAATCTTTGAAAACAACTCTCACCAACATGGACCACCATTAAAGACACTACTCAAAAAAAGTATGCAACC